AGAGGTGGTGAGCTTGGGACACGCCGCCTGGCGCTCCGCGGTGCAGCTCGGGCAGCGGAACACGATCTCCCCGAAAGAGCCGTGCAGGAGCAACAAACTGCAGAGCAATGCAGGAAACATGCCGTTATCTTTAAGTCTGACAGATGTCGGGATTCTGCAGGCGACTTCAGGTGGAAAAGTAAAAGTGCGTTTGGGACAGGTGAGGTTCGCCGGAGAGCTCTGCTGGGTCCTATTTGCTGTCATGTTACTCCGAAATGACATCATGTCCAAAGCCAGTCAAAGTCAAATATAGATAAACAAGTCGATGTGGTGCGACTGACTGTTGGCTATTTCATCTGCGAGAGATATGCTGCTTGTTTTGGGGAAATGTTTGGTATGGTTGCAACTACTGTTATGTTTCCTAAGTTGAAATTGCTATAGTAGGCCAACAGTTCCATCCTCAAAAAAAAAAAAAAAAAAGCCTCCTACATTTATTTTTATAACAACAAAATCAGTTTGCGAATTACATTGTCTATTGACTTGATTGGGAGCGATTTTCTATCAGTTTTCGGCGCGACCAATCAAAATCGTATTTTAGGACTTCTAGCAATGTCCGCTAATGTCAAGTAGGCCTAGGATATGTTAAATACGTTTAAACAAAACACATGACATTTTGTGATTTATTTATATATATATATATATATATATATATATATGAGTCTGTAATAAATCAATTTGCAAATTACAATAGCCTATCTATTGACTTGACTGGGAGCGATTTTCTATCAGTTTTCAGCGCGACCAATCGAAATCGTATTTTAGGACTTCTAGCACTGTCCGCTAATGTCTAGGCCTATGTTAAATATGTTTAAACAAAACACCTAATGACATTGTGATATTTTTTTTTTTTTTTATATACGAGTCTGAAATAAATCAATTTGCAAATTACAGTCTCTAATGACTTGACTGGGAGCGATTTTCTATCAGTTTTCAGCGTGAACAATCAAAATCATATTTTAGGGCTTCTCCGCTAATGTCAAGTATGTTAAATACATTTAAACAAAACACTTAATGACATTTTGTGATTTATTTTTTATATCTGAGGCTGTAATAAATTGATAAATACTTTTTATACTGATTCTAATGTAAACCACTAGAGCGGCCTACTGTCCTACCGTTGGTTACCTCGTCAGGCGATCGCGTGCATTTATTTAGCCCATTCTGACATAATTATGTTACGATTTTTTAGTTACCCAAACTTTCTTTGAAAACTATTGAAACTTTACTTAGATGTAAAAGCAGTGTCTTTTTAGGACGTTTTATTTTGACTTTCTTTAAAGGGGTTCAAACTTAAAGTGGTCCTATTATGCTCTTTTACAAAGTCTTGTTTTTGTTTTGGGGGTGTACTAGAAGTAGGAAAGCTAGCGTGTCTCCGGCACAGTGATAACACTCGTTGCCTTCTCTAGTGCAGCTCAACCAGGTCTCGTCCTATTCGTCGATATTTGTGATATCACAAATCCCGGAAAATATGCGTTGTAGTCCAAACGAGTCGTTCATTGTAGTTTTTCAAAAGTGATTTCTGTTAAATAAGATATCTACTTTTGAAGTGGACTTTGAGCTTTGTAACTTTGCAGATCTTTTTCATTCTCAAACAGCAACATTACAGTTGAAAAAGTGAAAAAGCATAATAGGACCCCTTTAAAACACATTAAGGAATGACAAAGATTCTTTTTACATTCTTTCCTATCTTAATTAATGATGATTTTACAGTAATAACAATAACAGTAAATTTGGCATGTTGGTGAAATCTAAATGTAGTGGTAGGCCACCTGTTTGTTGTCTCTAGAAATATACTTGTATTAGAGATACATGGGTTTTAATGTTTTCTGAAGAGAATATGAGTGGTGGTTGCTTGTAAAAAATTGGCCAATCATAATGCTAGATTGTTGTGGGCGATTGCCAAAACATTGCTATGCAGTTGCTGGGTTGTTTTGAGTCTTTTTAGCATGTTATGTGATTGCTATGGTGCTCTGGGTGGTTGGTAGGGCATGTATGACTAGTATGATAGGCTATCATTCATGTCAGTAGCACAAACACCAGATATGTTTTCATGTGCCAATTTTTTTAAGATGTGTAAGCGGCTTGTGAGATGTTAAACGTGTATGTAAACAATGTGTGGCATGGCACTGCACATGTGCGCAAAGTATTTTTGATCTATTTGAAACCTATATGAGAAGAATTTCGGGTTTAGGCATTTACATGATTCTTTTTTTTTTCCTTTCAATTGAATTTTTTTAGGTCTACACCACCGCTTTCAATCTGATCGAAGTTTTATTTGGTTATATCCCAGTCGGATTGATTGAAATGTTCACATGAAGGCTTTTTAGTCAGATTGAGCCATTAATAAACTGATTATTTGAGTGCATTTAAATGTAGCTACTGTTAGACAAGTCATGCACCGAAGTTTAATACATATAGTTTGTTCAAAACTTGTTCAAACCTAACCCTGGGCAATAGTAATAGCAATGCTTGCATTAGCATGCACCACTAATTAATTCTTAATGATATTTAAGCTCTTTTGCTGATGTGTGCACTTGTTAATTTGTTTTGGCTACCACTACTGTTATTTTTCTGGACTTGGCAGAAAAGCCTGTGCTTGACAATAACAGCTGTAGCTAATTTATTATTTCGTTTATTTATTTCTGTTCCCAAATCACGTATCTCTCTGTGTACGGATCAAGAGCTGTGCTGTTAAACAGGCTTCTGTTACCCCATGTGTCTGCCTCTCATGGTTGCTGTAGAGACTGAATGTTGTTGATCACTGTTGATTTATGAGCACAGAAACAGCCGCTGACTGAGTAACTCTAGCCTGTAGTAACAAGCTGTCAGGCATAAGGATTCTTTGTTTAATGGATTGTCTATGATTCTATGGCTTATTCATGCCTGTGCGGCCTGTGGCTTATGAAAGAGACTTTGGAGACTTTAGGCTGAAGTCTCGATTAGCCCTGAATATACAAATCACTGTATATCATCAGGAAAAGAACACATGCAGTCAAATTTGCTTAACAAACCATTTGTCAGATGTAACGTTGAGTTTTTAGTTTGCTTTCTGATGGAAAAGAATAGCTGATTGATTTTGCCAATTATTTTGGACTAGTTGTACTTCTGTTCTATTAACTAGTTCATGAAACTGATTTTTTTTAGCCTTCTCAGGGCTCTACAGTGCGACCATTTCAGTCGCAAATGCGACTGAAATGGTCGCACTGAAGAGCCTTGACAGCTTTTAATGATTATTAAGGGAGTTTGCAAATGTGATATTGATTTAATACAACAGTTCATTAAACAAGAAGTTAATATTAAGTGACTTATATTGTCTGACAACAACAAAATTGCCTTATTTTGCTATATTTCGTCAACGAAAATAGTTTAAAAAAAAAAGGTAACAGCTGAGCCGCTGCGCATCTCCATTCAAACACAGCGGTGATTCGTTTATGAATTAACTGCGTTTTTAAATGAATCTAGTGAGTCAATGATTCAATTACCCATTCATAAAGACAGTCA